AACACTCAAACTTGGAAAATCACCAAAAGCGACCTCAAGCTATCGAGTAAAAATTGAGTCCAAAAAAAAAAGAATTAAAAATATTAATGTTATTTACTATTTAAAGCCTAGGTGGAAGTGAGAAAGAGGAAATCCAAGCGAAAAATAAAAAATAATTCACTGGCTCTGAACAGCAGAGCGCGCTAAGTGGCACAGAGTGTGTTTAGCGCTCTACACCAGTTGCAGAAAAACAGGACAACAACTGGTGCAGCTGCTATGTAAGATCCACAATCACCCTACACACTCAATTTACAAGAATTATAATATTTACAACATTAACAAACACACCTCCACAAACTAAACACGACAAGCTTGCGGAAAAACACAAATTGACATAACAAAACTAACGGATGAAAGTGAATTAACAAGTTGAAAAGTGAAATTTTGAGAATTTAAAACAAGTCCAATTTCAACTTGTTAAAACACAAGTCAACACATACATAAACGAATACAAACAAAACATGCTTGTTTTACGTTGTAAGCTCGACGCCTTTATTGTACGAGCTAGTAACCTCCCCTCGTCATGCTATGATATTGTCACACCGTGCAAACCTAAAGAAAGGGACGTAACATCCACATAACAAACGTTACGAAAACGAGACAATTCACAACAATACGTGAAAGCAAAGAAAAAATACATATATGCACAAGTATGGAAAGTAAACACAAAACGTGTACAAGTAAAAATAGACAAGTTTATGTACACATTCTATACAACATATACATTAATTACAAAACTAAAAAACAAAAGAATTATCGTAATCCAAAAACAATAGAACAAATCCCCGGTAACGGTGCCATTTTGTTGTTGTTGTAAAGTGGAAAGCAAAAAGTAAGTTATTAATTTACCGGGTGATATTTAGGTTATATCATATCGTATCCACAGAGATTGGTGAATTGAAATATCGTTCGACAAATCTCTCGTTAATGAGTTTGGATTGAATTGGTAAAATATAAAAACATAAAAGTAAATATGAATAGGAAAAAATCCATTCTCTAGAGAGAAGAAATTTATCAAGCATGCATATAATCTACTTATCCCAAACTTAAACTTATCAACCAATTACACTCAACCTACAATACTCCTCAGAGTCATCTAGCATCGCTCACTCCCTAAGTTATTTCTAATCCAAAGTAGAGAGAACTACTATATCATCTCGGTGAAGATCTTTCAGCTAACCTCAACAACACAGCAGACATCCATATTACTCATATCGATGATCTCTCAACCGACACAACCAACACAGAAGCATTAAGCTTTGCCACCCATAAAGATTGTTAGCTCTAAATTTATCTTTAGAATCCAGAAACTAACAGATAATCATCCTAGATAAAGATTTGAGCAGTATATATCTATAACAACCAAAACCCCCGAGCACAGAGAAAAAATCTAAGATAACAATTGTGATCGGTGGGAACGAGAACTGACTGTTTTTTAATGCTGGTCCGCGTTTGCGTTTGTTTTTGCAAAGTGTCGTGGTAAGCAAGAGTCGCCACCGTCTTTTATTTTATCCAACAAGGAAAGGACAAAAGCACAGAAATATTCCTTTTCGAGATTGTTTCTCGGGTTCGGGAGGTAGATTATAGAAAGGGAAGGTGTTAGCACCCTTTCTATCCGTGGTTATCCACGGGCTCTTAGGTACTTGGTCACTATGTTTTCAAAAGGTTTGCTTTTCTTTGTGATTGTGGGTTTGAAAATTTTTTTGTTTGAAAACTTCAATTTAACTCTTGTTTCTGTCCTCAAGAGTGTATGAAGTGTTTTTGAAAACTTTGTTCGAAAAGTGTAAGTGCGAAAAGTTTTGTTTTGTTTTTTAAAATGAGCAAGTACTTAAGAACAACTACCTACTCAAAAAGGAATTAAACTGTGCAACTGTCCTTTAGACAGTGCTATCCCACTATTGAGGAGTAGGTAGCACCGTCGTTGGAGTTTTCGGGTCAATTCGATTTTAGGGACGTGTGGTCACTAAAGCAACGTTAGGACGCTTTAGTGGTAATCCTAATGTCTTAGATCATTTTTATCGAGGCAACCGTTTCGAGGCAACTTATGATCTTGGGACAAAAGGACAACCTCTAAAATATCCTATACTTAATGACCACTATTGAGGCAACCAAGTGAGGTGTACCCTAAGAGTGGCATGTGCATGTGTGTCAATTTTCAGTTTATATCATCTTTATATTTTTAGGTGTTCTACCATTTGTTTTTTAGATCTTGTCATACAATCCTAGTTAGCATACATCTAAGCAGTTAATATATATACAGGAATTTAAAGTGCGGAAATTGTAAGTCCTACGCTATTACAAGGCTTCGGGGAGGGGGATTATTTACATGTTCAAAATTGGGGAAATAATAAGCAGTTACAATAAAATAAACGCGCATGAATCTTAGAAATCCTAAGCATATAATCTTTTTGTTGTTTTATTTTATTTTTTGGGAAAATTCTAAATGTTCAATTAAGTCAAATTTAATTAATTAAAAATACTGATTAAAATTAATTCTAAAGCAAACCTAATATTTTTTGCATTTTTTGTTTATGAAAATGATTGACTTTAAATAAATCCTAAGTCTACTGATTTTAAAAATTGGAGAAAATAAGTTAAAATGATTAACTAAATTAAATCCTAATTCTAAGTTATTTATTTTTATGATTTTTATGATTTTTATGTTGATTAAAAAAAAACTAAAAGAAATAAACAAAAACAAAATAAACAAAGTACAAATGGGCCAGGCAGCAAAACAAGAAAAAAAAAATATAATTCTGGAGGTCTGGGTCGAAAGAGGTGCAGGTTGTCTTTCGACCCAGTGAAGAGGCTGGATCGAAGGTGCATGAGGGGCTGCACTCTGAGGGTATTCGATCTGGTCATGTCATTCTTCGATCTGGAAATCCTGGGTCCAGTTCGAAACTAGACTACTGAGCTTCGAAACTTTGAACAGGGATCTGAGAATGTATTTCCTGCAAAACGAAACACATATTAAAGGTCCAGGGGGATTTTACCCCCCTGGTTCGAATCTACCCCTTATTCGCACCTGCTGATCTGGGTCTGGGTTTGTTTTATCCTGGGATTCGAAGGGGAAACTCAGATTGTGCCCAAGCAATGGCATAATCTCAACTTTGCGCTGTAGCTTATATGTAGCACATTAAATCAGCAGTAATAATATGAATATGCAATCAAAAATGAATTTAAAAACGAGTTTGAGATTAGATTTTTCTTTTACCAAACAGAAGTGCTTCGATCTGTAGTTCTGAGGGTGGAAGTGTTCGCTGGGCAGCAGCTTTGGCTTGGAAAATTCTGGGCAGCGTCTCTCCAAGTTCTCTATTTTTCTGTATATTTTCGTGTGTGTCCTTCGCAATCATTTGTGATTTCTTTATATATAGGGGGTGGAGGGGACAGGAAGACAAAAGTTTAAATGACTTTGATTATGTGTTTGACAGCCATGAAGGAGGATTTGTAACATTAATTATGTGTTTGAAAGCCATGAATGAGAGTTTGTAACGTTGGCTAAACACATGGGATCCTGTCCCTGTTTGAATTTTGAATGACATGTAGATGACCTTCGAATGCTCCCTTTCGAATGGGCTGATGGTCTCCTTCGAATGCTCCCTTTCGAATAGGCTGATGGCCTCCTTCGAATGCTTTTCGAAAGCTTCTTCGAATGGACCCTTTGAATGCTTCTTCGAATGGACCTTTTGAATGCTTCTTCGAATGGACCTTTTTGGAATTCCAATCGAAGGACACTATTATAATGCCAGTCGAAGTACTTGTCCATAATGCCAATCGAAAGGCTTGTCCAGAATGCCAATCGAAAGGCTATTTCAGAACACCCATCAAAGGATCTTTCAGAATGCAAATCGAAAGCCTTGACATAATGCCAATCAAAATGCTTGTCCATGATACCAATCGAAAGGCTCCTTCAGAACACCAATCGAAGGGTCTTTCAGAATGTAAATCGAAGCGCTTGTCCAGAATGCCAATCGAAAGAGCTTGATAGAATGCCAATCGAAAGGCTCCTTCAGAATACCAATCGAAAGGTCTTTCAGAAGCAAATCGAAATGTCCTTAAAGCACCACTCAAAAAATTTCTTTTTCCTTAGGCAAGAGTTTGTGATCAACCATGCAGGGGGAAGACTTTGGGAAACATGAGAGGGCAAATTTTGGGGTACAACAACAATCGACACAGAATTGTAAAGCAAATTAAATATAACGCCATGGGTAACAAATATACATGAGTTCAAAGTAAAATCATATACAAAACCCAACCAAAGAGAAATACACAAAGAGGAAGATAAATGAACCAAAAATCTCCTGATTTGTCAGCGCCGATTGATGATCAATCCACCCCGAATCATTCGTATGCAAGCTCAGAAGTTATCTTCTAAGCTCTATGTACCAAAAAATGAAGGTTTTGATGAGTTGGGAACAAATATCCCAAAACATAACCTAAAAAATGGGTATTTTGGCCCTTTTAACGCAATTCTGTCAAGGGGACCGCGCTAAGCAGCAAAATCCCCCTAAGAGCGCTCTACTGTCATGAGAAAAAAAATTAACTTTTTGCTTTCGCCATAAATATCAACCAAATTAATGATTTCTTATTCTTTGATTTTGAGCCTTATTCATTGACGAGTTGTTTAAAATCACGCGTTTGAAGTCGTGTCTTTGACACTTTATTGCTCATGCTCCAAATACGCATCGATACCTATAAAATGAATGGAAAACTATCAAACGGTACACAAATACACCAAAACTCGATTAAATACAATTTATACATAATTATACAAAAAGCGGGGAATTATTCAACGATAGTAACAACAAAAAGTTGATAAGTGCAACAAAAAATATATACAAAAATAGCTACAATTTCCACTTATCAGCAACTTCAGCAAAATTCGGTCATGTAACAAACAAAGTAAAAAGCATCAGTTAATTAAAAGTATCAATAATAAATAAAGTCACATCATTGGTATATCATATACATACCTCTTCCTGCCATAATCTGAATGCCACATGATCCACATATCTAGTGAGGACAGAACATTCACTAGGCCCACCAGGAAACCCTCCATTGTGTAAATATAGCTTTGTCGAAGCCAGAGTAGTGACCTCTACGTCAACAGGAGGAGTAACCTCCATATCATCCATAGCAAGCGCCTCAGTAACCGTATGCAGAGCAGTCTCCTCAATAGTCGTCCACAGATTAACCTTTATAGCAGTCAGAGCCTCTATTTTAGAAAGATGGGGCACATTTGTCATCTCCGAAGGATGGGGCACCTCTGTTGTCTCTGAAGGATGGGGCACCCCTGTACCTGCCACTATTTGCATGTCATTCTGAATCGTTGTCTGAACATCAACTGACTCATCCTTTTCATAATCTCTCGTCCATTAAGAAGCAAATCTAGATCCTCTACGTTGGGTAGTACGGGGTGCACAAAACTGAAACTGATAATCTAGCCATCTCTTGTGAGAACCGATCAGGGCTACTCTCCCCGCCAGAGATGTGGGTCCCCTACGTCACCTCACCTCTCTCGAGCCCTCGCAACAACGGCTTTATCACGCTGCTGACCAGCAATTATGCCATTTGATCCTCTGGTGGTCTTCACTGAAAAATAAAAATAAAATTGTTTAATCTACCAGATTTTTCAGAACATCCGGTACCATTATGTATATTTCTGGTTTTCTCAAAAAACCGGTAAATGATGCTTAACATTTTTCCAGATTTTTCAAAATAATCGATAAAACGTATGTATTTTTACCAGATTTTTCAAAATATTCAAAAATATATATACATTTTTACCGGAGTTTTAAAAAAAATCGAAAAAATATATGAATTTTTACTGAATTTTTCAAAAATCTAAAAAAATGTATTCATTTTTACTAGATATTTCAAAAAATACGATAAAATACATGAAAAATCTGATAAAAATGTATACATATCCGTCATAAATTGTAAATGTCTGATAGTATTTGTAAAAATTCAAAAATCGTCATAGAATTTAGAAAAATTCAAAATTGAACAATATTTTTGTGAAACGTCTTTTAAAAATTTTACAAAATTAAAATAGTAATTGTATAAAATTGTGAGGATGCCAGATCAAGCGGGGTGTGAATATAAAATCTCTATTTATAATTTCAAGCCACACTTTTTAACAAAAGAAACAAATTACAACACTATTAGTTTGTAAATATTTCACCAAATTATTGTAAATTATTAGAACTGAGTATTAATAGGATGAATAACATTTCATTAAAATAAACCCAAACCTAAATCGCATAAATTAAACACACCGTTACACATGATCAATCTCAAGTAAGTTAATTAATAAATCCTCTTCCATTTTTCTTTTGATATTCATGTATCTACTAATGATCCATTGAACGATATGATTGCTTAATTCAAAATGGTCAAGCTCATAAGAAAGCAGAACTAATGAAATGCACGTAGACCAGTATAGGATAAACAAGTGATGCAAATATTAAATTAACATCAAGTTGATGAATTTCACTGCTCAAAACTATATTACAATGCTCACGTGTACATTCCCTCGATGAATGTTATTAAATAACGGTATATTGTGGCAAGATTAGTGTATCATTAACAATCACGATTACTTAATTAAGGGCTTCATTGTAAAGCAAAGAGATAATATTTTATATTAGTATTAATCAAAGACAAGAAAACGAAAGAGAAGACAGGACCACTTTCACTAGATCCTCAAGCTGTACTGTATTTTTTATTTTTCAATTCAAATTTCAAACGACACAAACGCCAAAACTGAAAAAGTTTGCGACATGTTCATTGTACAAATCAATTTAGTTAAACCAGCAGCAACATTGATTAAACAATTAATGATAATGAGAATACTAAGATTCTAGATCGGTTTAATTTAGTCTATCCTTAAAAACTCCGAATCATACCGTTAGCCGCCAGCCCACCACATAAAAGATGCTATCAACTTTTCGTCAAAGGAAAAAAAAAGTCGTGGATTTACTAAGATATGTAAATTTAAAATGATTTATTTGTTAGTCTATGATGTCATATCATATCTTACTCAATTAATAGTTATTTAAATAATCTGAAGTCTTATATTAGGGGTTTCATATTGACTATAGATAGAGTTTATGTAGGAGAAATTTCTAAAATATTTCTTAAATGATAAAGTTAAATCCGTAAGGTTGAGTTGGTTTTGATAACTTTCGGTAATTATTTGTTATTAACAAAATAAATCTCAAAAGTAAAACAAAGTACGTAAGCAGTTATCAAACCACGCTAGACATTGTTAGTGTCTGATATATTTTTAATGAAGAGAGAAAAAAATAATAAAGAAATAAAGATTGATATTATTGAATTATGAAAATTATATATATATATATATATATATATATATATATATATATATATATATATATATATATATATATATATATATATATATATATATATATATATATATATATATATAACTTGTACACTAAGTAACTAACAAATTCTAATTAACTTGGACTTGAGTTTGAATTACTTAACTTGGATTGTATAATAAAATACCTCATATAATCAAAGTTGTTGAATATACGTTAATCATAGTCGATCTGAACTATGCATAATTTCTTTTTCAAAATAAGAAATTTGTCGATCTTTAATTCTTTGGTGAAAATATCGGGAAACTATGCTTCACTTGAGCAGCACCTTACTTCAAGTTCACCTCGATTTAATTTCTCTCTTAAGAAATGAAATCTAACTTCGATGTGCTTACTCATTCCATACAGAACTAGATTCTTTGCAAGATTAATGGTTGACTTGTTGTCGATTTGCAGTACCAGAGATTTCTTCACTTCGATATTGATGTCTTTCAGCACATATCTGATCTAAATTGCTTGACACATAGCATATGGTCATATTATATATTCAGCCTTACACAATGACAATGCCGCCACAGCTTGCTCTCTCGAGCACACCATGAGATTGAGCCTCCAAAGACTTGAAAGAAATAACTAGTTGTGCTTCTTGGATCTTTCTTATCTCTACACTAATCACCATCTGAATAGCAATTAATCAAAACTTTTTTGCTTTCAGAGTCTCATCGAAATAGAATTCCATAGTTTATCGATCCTTTTAAGTATCTCAGGATTCTTCTTGCAGCCTTCATGTGTGACACTATTGGTTCGCTCATGTATCTGCTCATTAATCTGATTGCAAAACCTATATCTGGACAAATATTGGATACATATTAAAAGATCCCATAATTTTTTTGAACAAAGTAGCATCGACCTTGTCCTCCTCTCCGTGTTTCTCCAGTTTTAAGTTTGGTTCAACAGTTGAGGATGCAGGATTCGACTCAACCATTATGAATCTCTTGAGTGTCTCTTTGACATACTTCCTTTGATGTAGCACCATACCTTGCTTCGATATCTGAAAATTCATACCTAGGAAATAAAATAAGTTTCCCAGATCTGGCATTTTAAATTCCCTCATCATCAACTCTTTGAACTTCGACAAGTTCCCCAAACTATTTCTAGTTACCAGCAAGTCATCAATATATAAGCATATGATTGTTATATCTTGTGCCATAGCTTAAACATAGATACCATACTCAGATTTTCATTTGATGAATCCCAATTCGACTAAGTATGAGTCGATATTCTTGTTCCATGCCTTAGGTGCCTGCTTGAGGACATAAAGTGCTTTGTGTAACTTGTATACTTTCATTGCTTTCTCTTGAATAAAAAAACTAGGAGGTTGTGTGACATACACCTCTTCATCTAAAGGACCATTAAAAATTTTGATTTTACATCTAGGTGAAGTCTCGACCATCCTTGCTTGCATGCCAATGCTACCACAAATTGAAGAATCTCCAATCTTGCTACTGAAGCATATACTTCAGAGTATTCGAGTCCTTTTCTTTGAAGAAATCCTTGAGCTATTATTCTTTCCTTATGTCTTGATATCGACCCATCAATATTATGCTTCACCTTAAACACTCATTTCACTTTGATAGCTTTTGTGTGTGTTGGCAATTTGACTAACTCCTATGTGTTGTTTCTTTCGATTGCATGTAACTCTTTGACCATAACTGAATTCCACTATTTATTCTTTAAAGCCCCTCTATAGTTGATTAGTTCAGCACATACAAGTAAATCAAAATGAATTAACTCTCCATCTGGTGTGACTTCACCATCACCAGTCACTTCATAGTCTTGAAGTATTGTTGGACGAACTATAGTTCTTTGAGGTCTTTGGCTTGTGCTAGCCATACCCTTGTCGACTTCGACTGTGTCGGGAATGTCACCAACTGCTTCGACTTCAATTTTGACTAGAATATCGATAATTACTTCGTCTTCAACTTCATCAGTTTCTTCATCAAAGTCATAACTCGTCAATGGCTTGTTAACTGCTTCGCCAGAATTCCAATCCCATACAAAATTTTCATCAATCATAATATCTCAACTTATCATTATCTTCTCATTAATTGGATTGAACAACATGTATGATCTAGTTTTATGAGATCCTACAAAATCATAAGTTCACTCTTGTCATCAAGCTTCCTTCTTCTCACATCAGGTAACTCACTTATGTCGTTTGTCACTCCACACTTCTTCAGGAACCTTATTTTTAATTTTTTTGGTAGGACACTTGTTCATAATATAAACATCAGTGGTGATTACTTCACACCATAAGGATTTTAACAAAATTTTCTACTTCAACATACATCTCGCCAATTCCATTGTGTTAAGGCGTATAAGTAGTGGTTACCTCATGATCAACACCATGTTCTGCACATAACTCCTCAAACATCTTTGATGTGTATTCGCCCCCTCCATAGGTTCGCAGAACCTTGATTTTCTTTTCACTCTGGTTTTTGATAAGTATTTTGAATCTCTTAAAGATTGAAAATACTTCATATTTGTGCTTAATCAGATAGATCCAAATCTTTCGACTATACTCATCCACAAACGAAACAAAATGCATGTTTCCACCAATGGTATGATCCTCAAAAGGGCCACATACATCTGAATATAAAACTTAGAGTATGTAGGAAGATCTTGTTGGCAAAGTTGAAACAAGAAACTTTGTAGATTACTTCCCTACTAAGAAACCTTCACAGAGTTTGTCGAGCATCACAAGACTTGGTATACATGTTACCGTATCTTGAGTAATCAATTTTATTGAGTGACCTAAAATTAAGATGGCCAAACTTCAAATGCCACAACTAACTATTCTTGTGGTTGATAACTGTTTTAAGACATTGTACCTTAGTCGAACTGATCATGGTTTTAAATTTCATATTCTTCGACAGAGGAGATCTCAAGACTAGATTATTTTGTGT